ACCTTCGTTATTCATTATGTTGTTGAGGCTTTTCACTGAACTTTATTTTATGACTTACTGATTTTTTTTTTATTTCCAGCTTAATTTCAATCTGGGATTTCCTCAGTATTTCTGTATCTTTAATTATATTCTTGTATTATACAATGTCCTACTTATTTCATTCAGCTATTTGTATTTTCCTGGGTTTCAATCAGTTTATTCCTACCCATTTAAGTTCACTCAAATATTTATGTCTTCCTTGAACCCTTTTAACTCTTTGAACATGTTTATAATTATTTTTGAACTATAATTATGTTCGTCTAAATTGTCCTTTAGTTACTATTGCTATGAAATTGGTGGTTCATTGGGAGAAAATATATTGGTGAGGTTTTTGTTTTGTTTTCAGTTCTGGGCTTTTTTCCCCCATATTTCTTGTGTTCTTAAGATGGGACCTGGACATCTGGAATTACATTGTTGGTTGTGTCTTATGATATGAGATTTCAGGTCCACAATGTAGGCTATCTGAGCTTCTAATAACATTCTTTCATTGCTGGAGGTCCTGCAAAGCTGTCAGGTTAGTCTCTGGAGATTACAAAAAGGGAATGTGGCAGGGATGAGATGTGTCGTCCCCGATAGGTGCCTGGTGAAAATTTGGATAATTCTGAGTATGGAAGGTTTGGGAGGTCATTTGCCAACGTCTTCAAGTCTTATATGGTAGCAGAAGGATTCCTAATAGGTTAAAAAGTGAGATGTTTGGAAGTCTAGAGTAGGGAAGGTGCAAGATGAAGAGATGTGGGGTCATTGTTGGACAAATGATGGGACTTTGGGAATCATGACTGGGGAAGGGCCAGGAGTCTGACCTGTGAGTCACTTTCCTAGATTTCCATGTCTCCTCGGGTAGATTCTTGGGCCCTTTTCAGGAAGTGGATGGTTGTTGCTGGTGATTTCTTTCCATCCAGGTCCCGCCATTCTTCTCAGCCCCAAAGAAATACATGGATGCAATATTAGTTATAAAAATTGTTGGTCAATGACTAGGGCTTCTTACTGGCTAACTCTGTCTTAATTATTAACCCATCTTACTGGAGAAGGGTCTAGACCTGCTATTCCTTTGTGGTCTACATGGTGACTGCTTTGGCCACCTCCCTCTGCCTACCTTTCCCATAATTCTCCTCATCTTCTAGTCTCCTAGCCCTGCCTACCTTCTTGCCTCTACTGGCTATAGGCCAAACAGTGTTTTATTCATCAATCAATAACAGAAACATATATACAGAAGGACATCCCCAATCAGATGGTGGGTGGTTTATGGAGTCCTGAGGAAGTAAGGACCTGAAAGTGAATGTGTAGGTCCACTTGCCAGGGTCTTTGACCTAGAGAGGCATCTAGAAAATTCTTAGCTGGGAGTAGTCAGTGCTTCGGAGAATATTCAGAGGAGGGAATTAGAGAAAGGGACATGGGTCATGTCTGGGTTGTGAGCAGAGTTTTGAGGACTCCCACACAGAAATGGACTAGAAAAAAAAATATATGTGGTTCCAAATGAGCAGGCATGGATTGGGCCTGTCATAAGTGAAGAGAACCAGGAAGAGGAGGTACCAAGTGCCTTCCTGAGTATCTGGACCTCATGGAACAGATAGAAAATTAGACAACACTTTCTTTTCTAAGAATAATATTTTATTAATTCTTTGAGAATTTCATGCAGTATGTTTTAACCATACTCACACACCTTTCTCAGCTCCTCCTAGATATACCCCAATATCTCTGCCTACACAACTTAGCATACAATTTTTTAATTAATGGAGGCCAGATATGAATATGGGACCCTCTTGAGAGAGTAGGCTTGCCAGGAACCACACCCTTAATAAAAATACAGTTTCTTTACCAGATCATCCAGTGATAAAATAGTTGACATTTTAACTTTTTGATAATTAGAACTATATTGCTATGAACCTTTGCTACTTTTTTTGTATGCCTGTTTCAAGTTACTGGAATATGAATGGAATGACTGGATGATATAATTCTATATTTGACTTTTTGAGGAGCAACCAACATTTTATCCATACTGACTGAGAACTTTACATTCTTACTGTAATGCACAGAGTTCTAATTTCTCCAGATCTTCACCAACAATTTTTGCTTTAACTTTTAAAAAACATATTTTGATCATAAAAGACCTAATAATTTTGATTTGTATTTCCCTGATGGTTTGCAATAATGAAGCTTATTGGCTACTTGTTTATTGATTTTTGTTTTTAATTTTAGTTTTTTCTTATTTTTTATTAGTTCTTTTGACAATTTTGTACGATGCACTTTGGCTATATTCATTGCACATACACATGTTTCCTATCCAGTTAGGGTTTCTACTGCTGAGATTAAACAGCATGACCAAAAGCAAGTTGGGGAGGAAAGCATTTGTTTGGCTTATACTCCCACATCATATTCCATCATTGAAGGAAGTTGGAACAGGAACTCAAACAGGCAAGGAACCTGGAAGCAAGAACCAGTGTAGAATCTGGAGGCAACGAAGAGGCCATGTAGATGTGCTGCTTACTGGCTTGTTCCTGTGGCTTGCTCACTCTGCTTCCTTATAGAACCTAGGGTCCACCAGCCCAGGTGTGGCACCACACACAGAAGGCTGGACCCTCCCCCATCAATACTAACTAAGAAATTAGGCAGTTTCTCTATTGAGGTTCATTACTCTCAGGTGACTATAGCTTGTGTCAAATTGACATAAAACTAACCAGAACACTTTTCAAATCTAATCCTTATCAGTACTTACCCAATTTAGTGTCTTTCACTAAATCAATCAAGACCAATTTGTGCTTATATGTATGGCATTCTGCTGGAGTGTAATGGACTTCCCAGGGCTACATGGACTACACTCTTAGAGAAAAATGATTCTCCCTCTCTCATCAGCTAACAATTGCCACTAGCTTCTAGGCTATGGGTGGAACTTCAGGCCAAAATCCTCTCTCCATGCTGTCTCTGGCATGTCTTGGACTTAACATGCTTCCTGAAGGTGCTCTGCTTGCTAAAAGAGAATTAAGATAATCATCCATCTTACCCAGCTGTGAACCTTTTAATCTAGAGTAATGCCTGGCCTGGTGAAACATACACATTGATGAAATAGTGTCATGAACATCATGTGAGTAACCAACAACTTTCTGATTAGACTTAAATCCTACTCCACAAATGAAATGGCACTGTTGCTGGGGTGTGAACCTATGGTTAAATAGTACTAATAGGACATAGTACTAATCCAATAGTTAGTGATGCATCATCATCCCTACAGATTAATGTATCCCTGAATCCTCATCAGGGAAGTGTCTATTTGTAGTAGATGATGATTAAAACAGACACCCACACTGTATATGAATATGTATATGAAAATACATGGTATTTTCCATTCAAACTGGTTTTTTGCTCTTAGGCTAGAGTTACCATGAAATGTTTGGTGATTTTTGTTTTTTTTTTGTTTTTGTTTTTGTTTTTTTTTTTTTGGATGACAAAAAAATAGGGGAATTGTTAACAGTATTCTAATTTACACTTTCCTAATTAATATACTTGGTTGTCGATTTTATGTTGTATTATAGCTCAATCATACAGAACACTTCTTTGTTGTTTGCATTATTTCTCATTATTCACCCTACTCAAAATTAAGAGACAAAGTTTTAGCCTGGAGCTAGATACCATATATGTAAAATATAATATCAGTAAATACATTTTTCCCAATAAGCATTTAAAACTCCCATGCCAGGGGCTGGAGAGATGGCTCAATGGTTAAGAGCATTTACTGCTCTTCCAAGTGGTCCTGAGTTCAATTCCCAGCAACCACATGGTGCTCACAACCACCTTGAATGAGATCTGGTGCCCTCTGCTGGCATGTAAGCAGAAGACATAGTAAAGAAAAAAACTCCCATGCCCTTTAACCACTTAACTATGTGGACATGTACTGTGGAAAATTAACTGATGTGGAGATTAAAAGCTGTATATGTAAGGCAAGACTCATAATTTTTTTTCTTCATTTTTTTGGGGGGAGGGGGTTTCGAGAAAGGTTTTCTCTGTATTGCTTTGGAGGTTGTCCTGGAACTTGCTCTGTAGACTAGGTTGTCCTGGAACTCACAGAGATCCGCCTGTTTCTGACTCCCAAGTGCTGGGATTAAAGGTGTGTGCCACCAACACCTAGCTTCTGTCTTCATTCTTAAGTGATTTCACCAATGAACAACTGAAGTTACTTAGGAAATTTGCCCTCAGTTATAAATAATAGCAATAAAAATGTTCTATTGGAATGTAAACATGTGTATTAAAATATTAATTAAAAAGAAAATGTGAGATTGTACATACCACATGATTGCAATTACAGATTGAGGATTATATACCCCAAATGCTTTGGACCAAATATAAATCAGATTTCATAGGTTTTTTTTCTTCTAATTTTAGAACATTTGGGTATTCTTTAATGCTTGAGTATTGTTAACATCAAAATACGAAATCAAAAAAAAAAAAACTGAAATCTTTAACTCTGATTTGCTACAAGTGTTGTGGATATCAGAGCTTTCCATATTTTGGACTTGTGGATTACATATTCACGCAGTATAATAATAACAACAGAAATCCCAAAACTGTGTCTGGCATAAAGAATAGAAATCAATACTTCAAAATGATTACTCAATTATCCCCATAAGGCAAATTCACATAATACTCTGTTATGTGATAGTGCTGAATCCTGAAAGATGTCGTTTGTAATTTTTTTTTTTACTCCTGGATCATTTTCATGTTTTTCTTAAGGACTTGACTCTAGTTCAAGATTTTCAGACTGAATAATATACTTAAATGTTGTAGGTACTTCAAAACGTTGGTTGGTGTTGTTTATTTTAGGTTTATCATGTTGAGCTGAGGACGTACTAACATGACTTTGTCTAATATGAACATGCCACTGAACAGTTTAACATATCCTTGTACTCTCCAGATTTTTGTGAAACAAGAAAATCTGAAATTTAAAATTTATAAAATAATATTATTTCCAGGTGCCCCATTGCCTAAAGCAGATACTTCTGAGCCCCTGACGGTCAGCTCACCAGTGAGGAGAGGTCGAGGTGCAGATGCTCTGAGCGAAGAGGAAGAGCAAGTAAAAGAAGAGCCCTTGACAATCTCTGAACTAGCATACAATCCCAGCGCCAGCCTGCTCCCCACCCCCGTGGATGATGATGAAATCGACATGCTCTTTGACTGTCCGTCTAGACTCGAATTAGACAGAGAAGACACTGATTCATTTGAGGAGCTGGAAGCAGATGAAAATGCCTTTTTGATGGCTGAAGAGGAGGAACTGAAGGAAGCCCGTCAAGCTTTGTCATGGAGCTATTCCATCCTGACTGGCCGAATCTGGGTCAACCCCTTGGTCAAGAGTTTCTCCAGGCTCCTTGTGGTGGGCCTGGGACTGCTGCTGTTTGTATTTCCCCTGCTCCTCCTCCTTTTGGAGTCAGGTATTGATCTCTCCTTCTTATGCGAAATTCGTCAGACACCAGAGTTTGAGCAGTTTCACTATGAATATTACTGTCCCCTGAAGGAATGGGTGGCTGGGAAGGTCAATATCTTCCTCTACATGCTGGGTTGCTCCTAGGTTCATATCTGAGACAACTAAGGGCTATCTTCAATACTAGTAGAATCATTTTCAGTACATGCTAGGTTTTGATTGGCCTTGAGCTGTCAAAACATATTCTTTTCTCTTAACTAACTGCTCAAACCTTGAAATTAGTTTTTATTAAATTTAAGTTAATTTAAATCAAATATAACTCCTTTAGTTATCTTTCAGAAAGACAGCCTTTAAGTAACAAAAAAAAAAAATCTCCTTATCATACCATAATATGTAGTACATTGAAGTTAGGTATTCCTGTTTCTTTACTGTGAACTATAATATTCAGAATTTTAGTAAAAATACAAGGGAAATCTTTTTAATATAACCTTTGATGAAAACAATATCCTCTTACTGATGCCTGCACAAATTAAGTTGATGCTGGGTTTTCTTTCAGTTTTTTTTTTAAAAAAAAATATTTTTATGTGTTCTAACTATTTTGGTAATTTTTTAGCAAAAAAAAAAAGAAGCTTTCTGGAGTTATTTAAGTATACATATTGTACTAATGCACATGGAATTTTTTAGTGTTTTGGCACATGATTTTTTAAAGATATTTTTTGGCTAACTAGTCTCATAATTTATTACCTGCATAGGACTTTGAAAAATGATAGTAAGAAACTATAGTAAGTACTCAAAACAGATGGTTGAACTACAAGATGTGAGCAAGAAGAACCTTAAGTTGACATTGTGAGGTCTAGTTTTCAAATTTTTGACAAGATAATCTTATAATTTCATTTGCATTTTGTCCATATATTTGGGCAGGGGAAGCAGAGTGTTTTTTAAAAAGTTGAAAATACTTGTAATAGTAAAATTGTAAAAGATCCACTAGTTAATTGTTTATTGTTATTAATCTATGAGAAAGCAGACAGGAGTTTGGCAAATAGAAGGTAGGAAAGAAGAGTTCTGGTGAGATGGCTAGGCAAGAGATGATAAGCTATGGTTGCCTTTATGGAAGTGATGGTGATACACGACACTCAACGTAAAGAGCTGTGCACTCACTTTCTGAGTTCATAAAATCATGTTTAGTTAATAAAAGTGGAGACATTTTAAGGTGGATTTCTGGGATCCCTCACGCATTTCATTGTGATTCTCTGGATGAAATTTTAAGGGTGTGTCGGTGTGTCTGTGTGTCGTGTGTCGTGTGTGTGTGTGTGTGTGTGTGTGTGTGTGTGTGTGTGTGTGTGTCCTGTCTCTTGGTTCTCCACTGAACTGCTTGGAGTCAACAGCTGTGACATCAAGGGACTGCCTACTTGTTTTAATAAGGGATGTGCCTGGATTTCTTTAAGTTCTGAACTCTTGGAATTGAGGCTTCCATTGAAACAGTGAAGTAAACCATCAGATGAAATACGGATTCTGTTTGGGTGAAGTGGACAATGGTAGAGAAAAACAGACAAAAAAAAATGATAAATCCTGAAGTACATTCCTTCATAGCAGTGAACCCAAGATAGAAAACAGCTGGTGCTTTCCTTTGCTGGTCACTTACCAACAACACTGTATAAGGAGTAAGAAACAAAGGAATATGGAGATTACAACATAATTTCTGCCTGTGTTGAAAATATCCCATTACCTTTGATAATGAAGAGATTGGACAAATAAATTGAGCACTACAGTCACGCATGCTTAGTGAGGCACTGAGTGTTTTATTAGATGATTATTTTGAAAGTGAATTTTGAAAGTTAGGTCTTGGGACTTTTGAGTTGAATGCATTATATTATACACTTGCTGTTACATGATTTATACAGATATAGAAATATATTTTCTATGGCTTGGACATTAAGCCTTTTTTGTAAGTTTGCTACTAATCAGCATTTTGAAGTTCTATTTTTTTTCTTTTTCTCTCATATGACCTTGAAGTCATACTCTCTGACGTGAGGAAACTCCAGTGTAGTTGGTAGAAAATTACTCACCCTTTCAATTGTGCTACATATTTTCTTTGAAGTACTGACCAAGAGAACTCATCTGGCCTTCTTATTTTAAAAAATAATATTTACATTAAATAGTATTTTAAATTATGGAGATAGCATGTTTATATTATAAAATATAAAAAGAAAATAAGACAGGTATAACATGTAGTACATGCATGCAGATTTGTAAGGAGGAGCAAGATGCAGATAGTTTTAACATTTACAACTCATCTCACCCTTCTCTTGAGGAAAAATTCATTTGTAGAGTAGAAATACTTTGATGGAAAGACAGAATAGGGACTGCTAATTTAAAACAATAATGATAAAGCCTAGCACTGGGATCCTATAATGTCATTTATTTGATATAGAATTAAAGCCTTTAAAAAATATCCATTTATTGTTGCAAAGATTTCATCAGTTGTTTGAATCAAATGAAGAAGGGATTCTTCAAAGGATGGCCAGTATATAAAATATTAAGACTGAGGGTTCAAAGCAAGTACTTGAGCATATGAATATTCTGTATTATTGGTATATGTGTATTTATAAAAGATATGTATGTGTTTGTATATATATAGCCCACATGCCTTTCATACATATTTAATTTGTGCTAATTTTGCCCCAGGTGAGGAATTTGTGGAATACTTTTATTCCTTTCTCTCTCAGATATTGTGATATGATTTGTAGAGCCTTAGGTGCTTAATTCTGTCATGAAAGTAATTTGTGTACATTTGTGGATTCATGTATATACACAGAAAGAAAGAGAGAGTAAGTAAATGTACACACAGTTGTCATTAGTGCTGATATGAGCACTATAATGATAATGATGTAGGTAAAGAATCATATATTTCTGAGCTTGGAACATAATGTGTTATGTATTTACAGTATATTTTGTAGTTTGTCTAATATTTCTGACCATGACTCTGGGAAGAATTTGAAATGAGTTAATTTCATTTAATTAACAAAAGATATGGGGGCCATATTCCTATTATTGAAGCTGTATCTTTGTATAGTGGAATTAGCCTTTCTCTGTCAACATCCCGATTGCTTGTCTGTTAAAATGGTGGCAGGAATCTCTAATAAAAAAAAAACCTCTGGGGTAAAATACTTTTCAATCATTCAGTTTTATTTTATGTAAACCAATGAATGGAATTATAGGAGAGTGTATATTAGGTAGTGAAGGAGATTACCTAATATTCTGCTCAAGTTACCAAGGTCTAAGCAGAAAAATAAGCAATAAAAAATGTACTCCAGTTTAAAAGTAACAATTGGTCAAATTAATGGGATTAAGATAGAGAAATATGCTTGGGACTCAGTCTTTTTCTGCAGAACCAAGCCCCACTTAGTTCTTTTCCACTGCCCTTTTCAACCATTTCTTCTAAGCCATCTCCATTCCTTTCTGACTCCCTGCTGACAGACAGAACTAGTTTGTATGTATGATATGATTTGTAGAACCTTGGGTGCTTAATTATGTCATGAAAGTTCTTTGTGTACATTTGTACATTTGTACACAAATTTTCAGCCACCACAATTGTCTGAAAATCATTAAACTCAAGATCAAAGACATGTTTTTTTTTTCCTTCCTATTATTCTTTTCCTCTTTCCTAGCCTCCATTTAGGTCTCTCCTGACTTACTCTTTTTTTTCCCCCAAGAGATTATTTTTTTATTAGTTCATATTAGAAACAAGCCTACTTCACATGTCAATCTCTTCTCTCTCTCCCTCTCCCTCTCCCTCCCCTCCCCCAAACCTCCCCTCCATGGAGGTTCCCCCAAAGTCTGTCATATCACTCTGGGCAGGCCTAGTCCCTCCCCCACGTGTCCAGGCTGAGAGAGCATCCCTCCATGTGGGATGGGCCTCCAAAGTCCCTTCTTACTCCAGGGATAAATACTGATCCACTACCAGGTAAAGCTTGCCACTTCCTACCTACCTCAGCTCCTCCCCCAGCCCACTTTTGTCCTTTGGGGACAACCCAGGTCCAAAGTAGCCTTATTTCTTCCCTGCCAGCACTCTTCAGCCATGTCTTCCAGATCAACAGCATTCCTTTGTGACCCCCCATGGAAATGCAGAATGAACCACTATCAGTAACCCCACAACCACAAAGCTAGGGTAGGAATCAGGGACTTCATAGCACCACACTGTGCTAGGATCCAGATTGGGCAACCACAACCAAAAAAAAAAGAACACCCACACAACAAAGGCAAGACACCAAAATCACTTCAAATGTCATAATTCCAGATGCCTGAATCCCAGCAAACAAAACAAAACAAAAAAAGATTATGAACAATCAAAACAATGTGTCTCCTGCAGAAGCCAGAAACCCTATTGTGACATGTCCTGAGGAAAGAAATTTAGCTGAAACACAAGACAAGGACTACATAATAGCAATTATTCTTATGTTCAAGGACTTTAACAAGTATATAAATAAATGCCTTAATAAAGACCATGACAACACAAACAACTAAATAAAAAAATAAAGTAATTCCAAAAAATGAAAATAGAAGAAAATAGAATTACTGAAGAAAACACAAAATGAAATAAACAGGAGATGAAAAACTCAAGTTGTTAAACAAAAAGCTCAGATATGATCCTTACCAACAGATTAAAAGACAAGGAAGAAAAATTTTAAGAATTGAAAACAAGGTAGAAAAAATGGATAGCTCAGTCAAAGAAAATGTTTTGTTTATATGTATGTTTTGTTTTGTTTTAGTTTCTTCAAGGCAGGATTTCTCTGTGTAGACTTGGCTGTCTTGGAACCCTCTCTGTAAACAAGGGTGACTTCAAATTCACAGATGTCTGACTGCCTCTGCCTCTTCAGTACCTGGATTAAAGGCGTTTGCCACCACTGGCTGGTGAAAATGTTAATTCTTTAAGAAATCCAAGCATAAAACACCAGGAAATCTATGAAAAGAGTACATTGTAAATAATAGGTATGGAGAAAAGAGAAGAAACTCAAGTAAAACCCATAGATAATACTTTAAGTAAAATATTAGGAGCAAATTTCCCAATCTAAAGAAAGTGGCCAAAGTACAAGAAGCATAGACAACACCCAATAGATAAGAACAGAAAATAAATTCCCTATCACACA